GATGATCGTCTGATGTGTTAGTCTTGGTTATAACATGATGATACATCTCATAATTTTGCTCAAAAATTATGTTTTTATCAAAATCTATCAAAAACAAAAATTTGTTTTAAATTACCATCTCCCTTTCATGCTACATTGTTAAAACCTATGCCTTTCAAGAAAATAAAAGTCGATATTATTTTACCAAGGTGGCTATGCAAATATGATTTTCAATTTTTTTTTACTTTATCAGCCAAAAACAGGTTTTACATTTTTTCAGTAATACCAATAGGTTTTGAAGATATAAGAAGAAAATATGTTGTTAACAAATTGACCGCCAAGTCATAGGCCAGTGACTTCAAACTAAGCACCAGAACGACATGGGAAAATACACACAACAAATATAAATGCCGGCTAGAAAACTTAATCTTCAGTTTTATAGTTCGTTCTGAAGAAATGACTTATGCCACTCTAAACGTCAAGAAATCTAAACTAACGATGTAGCAAAAAACCAATTCTGGATAAAAGTGACTAAATAAAGCTTTAAACAACAGCAATAATAAATGCGTTCAATTTTTCTTTCCTGATCAAAAGACATCAGACCCTTGCTGGGACAATATATGAATGGCGGCATCTTCGTTTCTCTAGTGGAATCACACAAACCACCAGATCAATATCATCCAAAAGTCCTAAGCACCCAGTTGGCAAGTCAGTTGGTTAATCCGGATAGTTTAATGGTCTTTAATTTATAATTTTTGATTGTATTCCTTAATTGGACCTCAGCCTCTTCATTACCTCGATAACTTTTGTACCTTGATGAAGAAGAATGAGTGATGAGCATCATGACATACCCATTCCAGTTTGGACTTGATCTGGGATCAATACGATGCCTAGATTTGATTGTTAGTCGAAGTAAACAATATTTGATTGGATTTTTATTTTTTGTCATCTGTAATTCCGTTGTATCGCCGTTCCATTCAATAGTCGTTATTTTTGTTTGGAATATTCTAACATCTTTATCTGGAATGAGGAGTATTTCTTCTTTTCTTTTTGTATTTATATTTGAGTCGGGATTGGTACTGGGCACTGCATTTAATAATCTTTTTTCTGATCCTATATCCTATAAGATTTCTACACATGTCGATATTAAATAAGATTGAGTTTTACTTTACCCATCTTTTTTCTTCAGACTCTCTTTCGAAGTTCTTTAATGTCGTTATTTTTGATTTTCAAAAACCTAGATAATGTCTGCCAGCTCTTCCTTTTCGCATAATGCTCAGTGCGTGGCATTTGATTCGGGTTTTCTATCTCTTTTGGCAGTTTCAAATATTTCATATGTACCAATATTCCTTGAAAATGTTATGTTCTTCTTGAAGAATCAATCAATCAATCAATCACATATGAAAGAAATCATCAAGAGCACATACACTTTTGTATTGCAAATTCCTGTTATAACCGCTAGGAATAAGATTCATAAACCTTTGAAATGCTTCTGTGCAAACAGAAACTAATCAGTATTGACGATTGACACTCCCTAATTGACCACCAGACTTTACGACTAAAACGAAAGTTGTGATGTCTTATTTATGTTTAGAAAAAATACAGCGTGGGTTGATTTTGACTAGTTAATTTCATTACTTACGAATAATATTAATAGTATTCCAAGTTCCTCATTAGGCGTTTCAAATATTTAGTCACTGGTAGTTTTGATTATGTGAAACTATTAATAAACGGCTTTCTACATTAGTTTGTACTGTATTAACTTCAAAAAGATGTCAATGCCTACAAGTTTATAAAGTGTTTAATTAATATAAATGTAAATGAAGTAGGATCAGTCTGATTGTCACTACCAAGTATATGTATTCGAAAAACACATCAACATCATTTTATGAAGACATAGTTTTACAAAATCTTAATTCTTACTTACCTGAAACAGAAAATGGCTAAATTTAAATAAAAAAATTATCTTATCTATTTTGCCAAATATTTATCTATTTATAATTAATTCAGTATACAGGGTGTTTCATAATTAGCTGCCAACCCTGAACAAGCCGATTCTATGATCAAAACTAAGTAAAAAAGTTCATATGAAAATGGGTCCGGAAATGCTTCCTAAGGGCACAGGGACCCATCGAAGAGGGAGGAATGGAAATAATTTTTTTGCAATATCTCTCAATCGCGTTATGATAAATAAATGAAATTTGGTATACACAGCTAAATTTTGATGAGCAATTTGATGGACTAATCCATTTATTTCCACAAGGTCCATTGGGGTGGGTACGGGGGGGCCCTTGGTACTTTGCGTGTGTAACTTTTTCATCTTTGACTTTTTAACAAATTGGACAGCAAATTCCGTTTTCCCGAACTGTTTTACGTTAAAAAGGTACTCTTGTTTCAAATCGTTATCTTTAACGGTTTCTGAGAAAATCGCTCTTGAATTAATCCCACTTTGGTCAATTTCATAGTAATTTAAACAAAATTATCAAGGTATTCTTATGTCAAAGTATTGTCAACCCGATTGCCAATTTAATAGTTCTAAGCGAAAAAAATGGAAGAGTTTACGGGACAAGAGTTAGTTGATATGATATTTATTTATGGCTTTTGCGATGGTAATGCTGCAGCGGCAGAACGCGAGTACGGGAGAAGGTTTCCAAACCGAAGGCTGCCATCAAGGAGGACATTCCCTACGGTATTCCGCAACTTAGCTGCAACCGCCACTTTTCGAAAGGCACCGGGTCAAGGACGTCCCAGGATTAATAGGGAAGCGGAGGTCCTTGACGCTATTGAACAAGATCCTACGACTAGCATACGGAACATTTCAAGGCAAATAAATGTTCCTCGGCCAACGGTACTACATATCTTAAAGATTTCCTTAACAGAATTGATTAGATGTGCTACTAACATTTCAGGTTGGAAGAATATTAAAGCGACAAGGTCTACATGCCTATCACTATCGACGTGTACATGGCTTGATACCAGAAGATTTTGCGCCACGTATGCAATTTTGTCGCTGGATTTTGTCGCTGGACAACGAGCAAGCTTCCAAAATTTTGTGGTGTGACGAAGCTACTTTTACCCGAAATGGAAAATTAAATTTTCATAATTCTCATTATTGGGAAGAAGAGAACCCACATGTTGTTCGGAGAACAAACTTCCAGCAACGGTTTTCCATAAATTTATGGGCGGGAATAATTCACGACACTCTGATTGGACCTATTGAAATTCCACAACGTCTCAATTCAAATCTTTATTTAAACTTACTTCAAGAAAATCTTCCCCAAATTCTCGATGATCTGCCTCTAAATTTACGACGTAACATGTTTTTTCAACACGATGGAGCCCCGGCACATAGTGGTCGCAATGTTCTAAATTTCCTAAACGAAAATTTCGCTGGACGGTGGATAGGGAGGCACGGACCGGTAGCTTGGCCGCCGCGTTCTCCCGACCTAACCCCGCTGGACTTCTTTTTCTGGGGATATCTAAATCAAAAAGTTTACGCCACCGAAGTCGATACCCGTGAGGAATTGCTGCAGCGTATCAATGATGCAGCCAATGAAATTCGTCAAAACCGTTTTAGCATCTTAATAGCTTCGAGAAGTGTTACACGTAGGGCAAGACTTTGTATCAGAGAAGGTGGAGGGTTTTTTGAACAGTTTTTAAAATAGCTTGTTGTCTGTTATCAAAATTAAGTTTCCATCTTATGATCCCTTCGAAAAGTGACGGTTGCAGCTAAATTGCGGAATACAGTGAGGAATGTCCTCCTTGATGTCAGCCTTCTGTTTGGAAACCTTCTGCCGTACTCGCGTTCTGCCGCGCAGCATTACCATCGCAAAAGCCATAAACAAATCATCATATCATAATTGTTCTACATCAATAATGTGTATTACTGATTACGTATTAAATTATTATTATTATTTTTTGTTTAAATTACTATGAAATTGACCAAAGTGGGATTAATTCAAGAGCGATTTTCTCAGAAACCGTTAAAGATAACGATTTGAAACAAGAGTACCTTTTTAACGTAAAACAGTTCGGGAAAACGGAATTTGCTGTCCAATTTGTTAAAAAGTCAAAGATGAAAAAGTTACACACGCAAAGTACCAAGGGCCCCCCCGTACCCACCCCAATGGACCTTGTGGAAATAAATGGATTAGTCCATCAAATTGCTCATCAAAATTTAGCTGCGTATACCAAATTTCATTCATTTATCACAACGCGATTGAGAGATATTGCAAAAAAATGATTTCCATTCCTCCCTCTTCAATGGGTCCCTGTGCCCTTAGGAAGCATTTCCGGACCCATGTTCATATGAACTTTTTTACTTAGTTTTGATCATAGAATCGGCCTGTTCAGGGTTGGCCGCTAATTATGAGACACCCTGTATTTAATTTTTAACTTTTACTTCCAGATATTGGTGTACTATTCTAAATATAAATATTTAATGGTAAATTATTAAATTTGGTATAATTTATTAATTGCTACTTTTGCCTTAATACTATAGGTATGTGTATTTTAATCTAAAATTCTTCTTTAGAGATTCTATGTTGCTTATTCCAAATATTTATATCCTTTATCCTACACCGGCTTGTACTCTAGAATATATCACACTTTCCATAAGTTACTGCTCCATTACATAACCAGATAATTGAAGCAACTAATTCAGGGATCGTATGAAGTATTGTGTTGTACCCATACAATTACTATGAATAATGGCGATCATAATTCTCAATTGTGGGTTATCTTGCGGTGCTGATTTATCAAGACGTGTGCAGTACTTATGTAATAAACAATAATAATAGCTACTTCACGTTGTACCAGCCTACATTAGATAGAAACTAAACATACCTGCTGAAAGTAGAATCGCATTCAGTCACGTAAGTCCAATTACAATACATCATAACAACTAAGGTAATACCGGTGTTTCGTAGGGTTAAATGAAACACGACAACCAATATTGAATAGTTTTAATACTTAACATCAGATTTCATTATTTATACAACAATCTGATACGTAATAAGGAACATTTATTTAAAATAAACGTTAAAGGAGTCTGTATAGGAAACTTATTATTAAATAATAAAGTTTGTACTTTTTATATTACACTTAAAATCACGTCTCACTTTTATTTATTAACAAAAACTATACAAAGTCTATTTGCTTAGAACCAGTACAGGTCCTTGGAGGAGTCCTGCACTTGTGCTTCCAAACCTGAAACAAAAAAAAAATATTAACGGCGTTGTAGATATCTTCTAATCATTTGTCAGTGAATTATATCAGTTAAACTACTTGTCGGCGTCTTTGATGATCAGTGATTTGTGACTGGATTGAACTAATGGTCATCATTTTGCCTAATCATATGTACAGGGTAACCCAACAACGTTATGTAGTTGTTCCACGACTACCTTTAGCAAAAAATATCTTATATAAAAGTTAATCCAAATACCTCTTTCAATGTTATGCACAATACGTGTATTAAACGTTATATTTTCAAGGTATTCTACTGCTTTTTGTTAAAATTAACTATAGGTTAGTTACAGAAAAATGGAACTAGGTTGGGACACCCTTTATATAACAGGATTATGATTGTTAAAGTCTATGAATTCATAAATATTTTAGAAAAGAGAAGAAAAAGAAGACAAGCTAATTTTAATTTCAATTCAAGCTGGTAAACACATAAAGTTACCACAAGTAGAAACTGAAGCTGATTTACTCGAGCAACTTGACAGTTTGTGGAATATAACGCTGAAATATGCGACACGCTATCAATTTCTCTCCTTTAACGAAAATAAAGCAAACACTCTTTTTAATTTAGAAGATTGAAACGTTGGAACAACGTTTTTATTCATGTAGCATTAACATTTCCATTATGACGGAACTCCGCCCTCTGCCGTCCACGCCATCACGAAACCCGGACATTCATCAAAGGAAAGAGTCGGTTTCGGGGTTTTTATTCATACGGAAAGTATCACGCGAGGTGCTTACACCCCCTTCTTATCCGGTTACTCTATCTATATGTATATGTAGCTGTCTTCTATGGATTAAAACCCATTAATGTTGTTGTGGCGGTCCCTTGACATAAATTATATGTACCGTCAAGTACAAAAGTAATGAAGCTTTATTAACTAATGTGGGTGAGATACAACTACAAAGTATTTTTATCTTAATTTTTATTGATTGCACAAAGCGTTGCGGAGAGCGATCTAGTGATCTGTAAATACTGTAGAAGCATGTCGCATAAAAGCATACTGTCGCACTAGGCAAAACAAAGGCTTTATCTCTCTGCCTGTAGCTACAAAGCAGTGGTAGATATTGAGGATGTAATTCAATGCTAGACGGGGCTTCCCCATTATATCGTATTTTCTGCAAATTTTAATGAAACGATTTTATAACTTGTAACTATTTTTTCCTAATATGCATTCTAGAACAGGATTTATGATTTTTGCGCAAAGACCAATTTTGATTGGAGCAGCATGGTCTAGGTTATTGTAAGAGCCAATATATTGTAATATTAACAAATATTCTGGCGTTATATTGAAACTTAAGTCACACGTGTTTTCTGTAAATTTGGATAAAAATAATTTCACACAACTGTAACAATATGAGTTCTAGATTCAAACTTGTCAATTTTCGTGTAAAAAAATTCTGTTTTGAACAACACTATGTATGTTAAGTAGTAGGTATTACATAACTGTACTACACTTCAATATAATAGCAATTTGAAACAAAAATTGAAAGGATCTCTTTGCAAAACGATCAGTATAGATATTCTGTCATAATCTTCAATTTGACAATGCGACGTCTCACTATCATACACTGAACTTCTTGATAGTTATATGGATTCTCGGTTTGCACATTTTACTTTTTTCTCATCAATCCACATTCTGTTTCATACGCATTTTACATTACTTTTCATTTGTACCTTGGATGTTCATTCATGTTTACGGAATAAGCGCAAAGTTGACAGTAATGACAGTTGACCCAACTTTTACCACCACGCCATAACAATGTTGCCAGATTTCATCCATAATTTTACAAGCTCTTAATGAATAAATAGACTTCATTCAAATAAAAAGTTAATTGCCGTGCATTAAACACGAAAAATATATGCAAGCTAATATGTGTTGTATAAATTTCATTCGTATATATTATATTTAGTTCACTCAAATTAATTTATGTAAGGTCAGTACTACAACGAAACTACCGTGTATAAGCATAGGCTTCCCTCCCGCACCGACTGCCCCGCAAGAGATGTATCGAACATCCTTAAGTTGATCATAAATTTAATTCAATCGACAAATGATGAATTCTTTTAAATCGCGTACATATATCAAGACAACCTATTATTTTGTTATTTAAAACAATAATATTGTGGTATAAAATAAATTTGTAAGTCAATAATCAAAGGAAATATTTATTTCAATTAACTACATATTTAATTGTGGATATATGACACTTTTTTTATTTGTTTTAAATAATATTTTGTTTTATTAAACAATGTTTTCTCTGCGTGTACAAAAAGAAATATTTTAAAATTGCAACGATTAAATGGATTACAATTTAGTAGTAAATTTTAACTGAAATGTGAAATCACAATTACATTTTAAAAGTATTCCGGAAAATTACTTTTGGCGTTCATAGAATTTGAAGTAGGTTGGAAACTATGATAGATTTTCAGTCAATTACTCAAAATGACGTAATTTTTATTGTAAAATTACAATTGTGTGTATAATTTGAGATACATTTACAGTGAAAATACTACATAGATATTAGGGAAATTGAAAACCAATTATAATAGTATTTTAATGAAACTGTGACAATACATATTGAGATGTATGGAAATATAACATATAAAATAAATATTGGTTTGGAAATTAAAAATAAAAGTGCGAAATTAATATATCGAATTGGCAGTAATTAATGTTGTATATAGTGTATTATAAATTGCATATGTGAAAGGGGTAAAATGAAAGAAAGAATTATATCAGTAATAGCTTGTTAAATCAGAAATTTCCAAGAAAATAAAATGTAAGAAAATGTGAAAATAGTAATGTGTTGAAATGTGATAAAATTAAATTGATGTTTTTATATAAATGTGAAATTATTGTAAAATAGTTATTAAGTAGTAGAAACGTAGAAACAGGAGTGCGGTTACTTGGAAACGAGAAGAACAAAAAAGTTTGTTAGTTGATTTGAGAAAATGGGAGGAAGGAGAGAATGAATAAAAAAGTTGAGAGAAATACGAAGAAAAGATAATTTAAATAATTAAAAGGTCCAGAAATAACTAAAGAAGTCAGAAATCGTGTATATAAGACATAAACAGGAATAGAAAAAAAAGGTAACTAATTGACAAATTTTAAATTATCAACATTTCTCAGAGGATAGTCTCCTGTGGAGGACCAAATACCAGATAACAAACCGAATACCAGATGTAATAGAGGAGCAGACAGACAGTAGAAGATTTAGTCTTGGAGCAGAACAGTTACGTACGAAAATTGCAGTTGAACTTTAGAAAAACGAGGCAGGATCATCAAAGTTGAACGGAAGGAGCAAAACTGTGTCTAAAATTGAAAAATAATTGTGAGAGATTTATTTATTAACCAAAATTTTATTCTAAGAATAATTCATCGTGGTAAAAAGAAATCTAAATTTATAAAACAAAAGAAAAACAAAATATAAACACTGAGACTACAACACTAGTGTCTACCTTTTAAGCAATTGAGGGTAAGTAGATTTCCCTATTTGACAATCTGAGCTATCCGAAGGTACATAAATATAAATTATATATACAAATAAATTACTTGACTAATAAAATTACATAACAATACTTAGTTGTGTAATAGAATAATGCTGTATTCCAGAGGAGAAAGATAAAATTTACAATGTCTATGTCAGATGGCCTTTAATTCACATTCAGGCAGTTTTTTTATCGTTGTTCTCCATTATACACAAAGATTATAGTTCAAAATAACCAGGTATTATAGCAACAACTTGTCGTCATCCATTAAGGTGGCCATATCTCTGGCCGAGAAATGGTGAAATTTCTGTCATTTTTAGGTACTGAAATCTTGAAAAGTAAAACGTGTAGAACAAAAGTAAGCACAAAAATAAAATCCTTGATGTTTTGTTTATTCATTGTTACCATTTAAATTTACCCAAATAAAATAATAACTAAAAAAAGCGTTTATAAAACATGCGTTTGCTATTATCCTAACCCCACATTTTAACAATTATTTTCACGTACTTATAAAAAGTAAACAATTTTATATGTAGGACTAAGCAAGTAAATGTTATAAGAATATTTATATGTGGAGTTATATATAAAAAAGTTAGTATTTTCGTAGATTTCAGTACCTAAAACCTTGATGGTTTGATCGTTTTTTGCACCTGATTATTCGTTTTACTGCGGCGTCTTTGAAAATACTCAGGTGGCATGACATAACATTCCTATTATTTGATACACTTTAGATTATTCAGTTATTAAATGTTTGAAATTATTTGTCTTTGCGGAAAACACTATTTAAAGAATATGGGGCCCTTAAATCTAAATAATTCAGCTATTAGATGTTCACAATCTTTTATCTTTGTAAAAAATACTTTTTCATGGTGGCAGTCTACCATCCCAGCAAAATTTTAGAATACACCTTTTCTGTATACAGGGTGTTTCAGAAAACGTGCCACCGCTCGGGACAGATTCCTAACATAAAAACAAGATTATTTTTTCATATCAACACGGGTCAAGTATACAGGTACAAGTATAGGTAATAATTTAATCATCCGCTTATTTACCCAAATATTAATCGAGACTCAATCTATTATTGTTTTTAATTAAGTATTGTAATCAAACCACATAATTAAACATAATTTTCGCAAAAATAGCCGGATTAACGGACACTTGTCCAGCGCTACACGCCATACACCACGCCAAGAGATGACCTAATAGGGACGATGGGAATAGACAAAGACAACGCACGACAACCATAGAATGGGGTGCGGTCAGTCAATGATTAGGACGATTTCTCCGATTTCTACAAGTGCGGCAAATACGAATTTACCTGCAGAATTTATTTGAGTGAAAATACTCAGTTTTAACTCAAATATTATTACAAATGAGTAAAATTATAAAAATGCTCAATATTGAGTGAAAATGTACTCGATAATTTCACTCAATGGATTCACTCCGTACCTTTATTGCTTCCATTCACACCGAC